AGTGCTCTGTTTGCTATTCACTCACTAGGCGCCAGCGTGCTAAGCCAGTCTTCCATTCCCCACTCAGCCGTCCTTTTCAACCCCATCCAGCGCCCGGCCGAAAGAATTCCTCTATCTCTCTCTGTCTCTCTCTCGCCCCGCCTGTCGCCACTTCCTTCCCGGCCTGTACAAAATGAATGTCTAATAAACTTTGCCCCACAGGCTGCGGCCCACAGCAGCTGTAGGCCAAGCTGGTGCATTGAGGGCGTGTTAGTGCCTTGCTATTTTAATCCATTTTAACCCCTATTTACGGGACTCCGAGCGTCTGCTCTCGTGGGATAAATTCCGGATGAAACAAGTTTTTAAATCGCATTTTAGGTGAGTAGTGTCTCTCTCCGCAATGCTGCTCTTCTTTTTCCGACGCTCGCTTCGACTCTGCGGAAAAGTGTTTGCTTGGGGGTGCGGCTGGCTCCAACCGACAGAGAGTCTTTAGCTTCCCAGGTCTGGCCGAGGGCAGCCGAGGGTCTGGCCCGTCTGCGGCCCCCGGGCCGCAAGCCTCAATAATAGGGGCAGTGCTTGTGTCCGGAAACGGAGACGTGAAAGGGAGACGAACAAAAAGGGGGACGATTGGCGCCTCGAGACGTTTTACGTGTCGCCGCTCGGTTTCGCCTTTTCCCGCGCATTTTTCCCGCGCTTTTTTTCCCGCGCGCATTGGCGAGCTAGCGCGTATGAAGTGCCGCCAAAAAGTTGCCCGCCTCAAGTTTGGCCGGCCAGGGCGGCCAGGCTTGGGTCGGGGCGGCGGGGGCGGCGTTGTGTGTGTGTTTTGGCTTAAAGCCCGGGAGGCGGCCGCCAAGTGGGGCACAATAAAGAAAAGACAGAAAGAACTGCGATTGGAATTTCGCGGCACGCAAATCGATTCGATTCATAAGCGACCGGCGGCGGCGCACTTTACGGTTGCCCTTCACGCTGCTGCCGGAGCGGCGCGGGAGGGGAAGGGGAGAGGGGGAGGAGGGGAGGGTGCAGAATAATTCTGGCGAAGCAGAGCTGCTTGCAGTACCGACCGACCCGCTGTGCATACACTGCCAGTCGTTTCGTCGCTGTCCTTGTCGCACTCGTGGGCCTCCCGGAGACAACAGCTCTTCTGAATCGCCCGACAGCGAAAATGCTTAATTGACTGCGACGCTAAAAGGGCGGCCAAGGGCAGCAGAGAGAGAAAGAGAGACAGAGAGAGGAGACCATACTTTTCCCGCCCGAATCTGTGGCCCGAGAGTTTTATCCAGCGGGCTCCCGGCGACTGTCTCCTAACCTGACTGCGCTACACTCCGAAAGTCTTGTGGCGAAGATTCTCCATGGATGGTGCAGCAGACTTTGAAACTTGCCTCTGAAAATTCTTCGCACCGCCCACATATATTTAGTCTAATTTCGGTGTTTCGCATTGTGGATGTAAAAGAATGTCGCCATATTATGTCGATGCAGCCGTGCGGCGTGAGGCACTGAGTGTGTTCTCCGCGCCACGCCGCTCTGCGCTGCGCGCTGCGCCCACGCCACGCCGCGAGGCTCGTCGTTTCTGCCGGCCGCCGACAGAGGGCGCTGCCTGTCTGTGGCGTCGCGCGCCTCGCGCCCCGCAGATACGGCGCCCGTTCATCAGATCACCCGGCCTCGTCGTCCGGCGCTGCAGATGAGGAGGACCAAGATGATGAGGAATTTTTGAAGGGGCCGTCCATTTCTTCTTGGACGGTCCTAATAAACAAACAATCATGCCCCATGTACACTAGAAAGATGAATTTCGGCGAAATCCACCGGTGTGAGTTTCTTCGTCGCTGTCCTATCTTTTCGCACTCACGTGAGACCACTCGGGGAGGGGGGGGGGATTGCTCTGCCTGCACAGTCCCCTGCCCAAGCCGAGCAGGTCGAGCTTCGTTGAGGCTTGACTTGCCGCACGGCCAAACCCAATTTCCTCACTTTCGGACGCCAGCGCGGCGCCACGGTCGCCACCGCCGCCTCCACCTGCAGGCATGCCGCTCGCGAATCAACTTCGCCGTATAGTTGCGCCAATTTTCGGGAGAGCGTGCGCCTCAGACGCGCGCCGCGATATTAGCCCGCGAAATCTCTTCAAAAGAGCTCTCAAGAAAAGAGTACACACCCCCGAAAAAAAAACTCAAACTTGGCGGCGCAAGCCTTGCAATGAATTCTTTATTCTCGCCATGTGGGGTGCGAGTGTGTGTGTCTGTGTGCGAGTATTCGTGTTGGTCTGTGTGGGTGCACACAGGGAAGGACGACGAGAAGCGACTTTTCCGCCCCAATTTGCATGAGAATTGAAAGTGGCTGCACAAGCAGTTTGGTGCGCCGCGCGGGCTTTGCGCTTTGGACGCACACAAACGCGCGCGCACCCACACACACCCACACACACGGAAAAAGGGGAGGGCGCGCCGAAAGGTCCCAAAGTAGTGGAGTGGGGCGACCCAGCGACCTCCTTGACCCGCTTTGACTGCAAAGAGGCCGATAATTGCATCAAAGTTCGGCGGTCGGGCGAATCAACTCTTCACCTCGACGCTTGGTTACACTTCGACACACTGCGAGCGAGTCAAGCTGCCAAAAACGGGTCACCTTCGAACCGTCGGCGAACGAATGGCGAAGGCGGGAAGGAATTCGTGTCGGCGGGAAATTTCGATGACGTCATATTTGAGCGGCCCTTGGTGCACACGGTGGCGGCGCGGCGGGGCCGGCAGGGTTTGCTGACGCCACGGACTCATTCCGTGAGTCGTTTCGGTCGCCCTGTCTCCCTCGCACCCACCCGGCACGCCCACGGGCACGCCCCGCGAGTGCGAGAGAGACAGACAGACTCTTCGGAATGGGTCTGCACAGTGTGGGTCGTTTTCGCTGCAGGTGGGTGTTTTCTCGGCCAACCAAGTCAGCGCATCGTTGGACTACATTCGATTTTAGTGCGGAGGGAAAAAAAAAAATGAATGACCGAAACTGAAACACACGTAAAAATTAATTGTTCGAGTTCTGATACTTTTCAATGCAGCAAACTCGTTAAAACAAAAATAAAATTGAAGCACTGCACGAAACAAAAAGCGACGCCCCTGTCGCTCGCCTGTCGTCCGGCAGTCGTCACTCAGTCGTCACCCAGTGTGCCGATGGCCGAAGCGAAAAACGGCCCTGTGTTGTTCTTGTTCACTGTTATTCAAATTGCGATAACCACCGTATATATTTTGCAATAAAAAACTTATCACATTTTCTTTGCTATAATGACAATTAAATATCTGCAATAAAAAATTTATAGCTAAATTTTGCAATAAAGTATCACATTTTTGCGATAATGACTACAAAGAAAATGCAATAAAAAGTTATCGCAGAAAAAAATGTGATAAAAGTTACTACAAAACGCTCTATTATCGCAAAAATTATGGGGTGGTTATTGCAAAAAAAGTGCAATAACAAAATTATCGCACTCCAGGATGCGATAAATCGTGGGAATCGCAAACTCGGTTTTATCGCAAAAATTTGTAGTAAAAGTATCGCAAAATGAATGACAGTGTTGCTGCTGCAATATAAATATGGCTCATGCGGGGCCGACGGGCCGACGACTGGGCGAACCGCAATTTTGGCTTTCGCATCATAAAGCAGAGGACATTAGTCACGTTAAACTGCCCAACCCTCTACATTGCATGCGGACTAAGTGAATGTGTGTGTGTGTGTGTGTGTGTGTGGTGGGGGTGGCGGTTCTGCCTGCGTGGAGGAAGGGACTTTCATTTCACTCCACTGTCGGCCTCACATCACTATTCGCCGCGACCCAGCTATAGCAGTTAGCTGCAAACAGTCAGTAGCGGCGTAAAGGGGAGGGAAAAAGAAGGGGGAGGGGAGGAACCTCGTACAGAGCGACACATTCACACGCACACACACACACACACACACACACACTCACACGTACGAACGGCATGTGTTGCTGCACACAGCAGAACTGGTCCTAAAGTGACCGAAGAAAAAAAGACGCGGCGTTGATTTGCACGAGTGTGTGTGTGTGTCCTCTTCCGGCCTAATTTACAGTGGGTGTGTGGGAAAAGGGACGCTGGTCCATCGATCAGTGCCGACGTCAAACTAACGACCAGCACGACCCGAGAGGAAAACTTGGAGGCGAGGTGTTGGCTTCCCCGTGAAGCATCATGGCAGCCCGGAAGGAAATACGCACACGACACGCGCTGCCTGCCATTCGCCTCCGCACAGCGGATTTGCCAGAAGACCGGTGGAGGCGGCCAAAATTCTAGGCGCGTTTTGAGCTCCAGATCTGCGAAGTGGGACTCGAACCGAACGTGTGGCCCCACCAATGGATTCCTCGTTCGGAGAGCATTCCATTGGTGGGGTCACTCGTTCGGTTCGAGTCCCTTTTGGCGACTCTGGAGCTCAAAACGCGTTTCGAATTTTGGCTGCCTCTGTGCTCCGCCTTCGAGGCCGTCGGGGCCTTGCGGGGCGAGTGTCCGATTCGGGCACGCGCAGTAGCCAAATCCTCCTCAAAGGTAGCCAGCCCGGGCCGTGACAACGGCGCCGGCTCATCGCCTGGCCTCGTTATCGGGCTCGCTTCGCCGTGCTCCGCCGTGCTTCGCTATCAGTTGACATGTTGTATGGCCACCAGAAGGCGGAGTCCGTCAGGTCCGTCCCTCCCTTTCCTATGATTACTGCTCGGCCCGGCCCGGCCTGCCCGGCTGCTCTACGGTGATCAAAAGGACCAGACCCACGGCAACCCACAGCCCCCTCCCCCTCCACGCCTCCCCCGGGGCTCGCCACCACCCCCTGGGCGGGGCGCCCTTGGCGGACCGACCAGCTCGCCGGCCGCGGCGGCGTCGGCGGCGTTCGCGTGCAACTCAACAGGTGACCGCCCCGACGGGCCCCGACGGGTGGCGTGCTTCCGGCCCGTTGGGTCTTCACAGTGCACCCGCCACTGCGTGACCGCGACGCAGTGCGAGCCCGTCGAGGGCCACAAAACCGACAGCAACGCCCAAATCGGTGTCGTTCGCGCTCACCTTCCAACATGGCTCTCCCGGGACGGTTGCCAGAATCCGGCGAAGTTTGGATAATCCAAGTGGACGCGCTGTGTGAGAAAATCGCGAGATCGACGCACACACACACACACACGCACGCACGCACACACACACTGACGCGCGCCCTGCCACTCCGCACGCGCACGCTCGGACGGTCACCGCGCCACTGAGTTGGGCCTCGCTTCGGCCGCCTGGCTGCCGCGATGCCGCCAGTCTGCACTGACTGACTTGGCTCGACTCGCTCGCCGTGGCTTGCCGCCGCTCGCCTCTCTCTCCCTCCCTTGGCAAGCTCTCTCGCTCGCGCGCGCTCGCTCTCTCGCTCTCTCGCTCTCTCGCTCTCTCGCTCTCTCGCTCTCTCGCTCTCTCGCTCTCTCCGATTGACTCCGCGGCGCCGCGCTCGGCCGTTGGCTGCCAGTCGCTGCTGATGTTGATGGTGCCTCAATGGCTGCGACTACACCTTCAATGTCATGCCGCTGGAGCCTGCACTGCTGGCACACTGCAAGCGGCTGGAACCTGGAAGCCCTCCTGGAGCGGACCGGAGCTGCGACGTGCGCTCTAGACAGGCTCTGTCTCTCTCGCACCCTTGCGGTGCGCCCCATGAGGGCGAGAGGGACAGAGCGACGACAGCAGAGCTCGGAGTGCACTGTGAAGACGGGAGTGGATTTACCGTGGAGGCCCGAGGAAAACAAACACAAACTTTGCGAGACAAACATTTACCTGGTCAGTGAAAGGTTTGAATGGGATCGCAAAGAAAACAAAACAAACCACTTGACAGGTAGATAGACCGAAAAAGTAAACAACAAACACTGCGTTCTCGTGACCCTGGCCGTCATAGAGCGTAGTACCGTTGGACGTACCCGCCGTAGCCATTCATGTAGTGCTCCGGGTGGCGGGGTGGCGCTTTGAATGGCGATCTAACGACGGAAGACGTCCATCAAACGCCTCAGCGCGGCGGCAAAGCAAAGCACCTCCGTTCCGTTGGGCCGTAGGGCTAATCCTGCTCGACAAGGTGTGCCCAGAGCTCCATCTCCATGGGACTCGAACCGAACGTGTGACCCCACCAATGGATTGCTCTCCGAACGAGGAGTCCATTGCGATACCTCCAAACCATAACCGCTCAAATGCGATTCCCCCCACTTCGTCCCTAACCTCACCTGCTCAGGTAAAGGATGGGGAGGGGGGAAATGCATTTGAGCGGTTAGTGGGCTCACACGTTCGGTTCGAGTCCTGCTTAGCGACTCTGGAGCTCAAAACGCGTCTAGAATTTTGGCCGCCGGCGCGATTCTTCCGCCACTGCACTGCTAAATCCTCATAGATTATCATAACACCAGTTTTTACAAGTGTACGAAGCAGAGATCCAATCTGAGACTTTGCATGACAATGCATCCATCGTCACGTAAGCGGTTCCGGCACGAAATCCGAGCGAATCTGAGGCCTCATTGAAAGCCCTGAATCGGGCTAATCCCCGCACGGCACGCCACGGCGTTAGTCACGTCGCTTAATTGGCCAAGCTCGTAATTTGTGTCTCATATCCACGTCCCGCGGGTCGGCCGCGGCCGCCTAGTGGGTCTCGACGACTCGAGCCGCGCGAGGCACACTGCTGGCGGAGGAAAGCGGAGCCAAAGCGGCGGAGCCGCCTTCTACCTCAATGAAAGTCAACACACCCATTCACATTCACATTAGAGCCGACTCGACGACCGGCCCGAAGTAGACAAGCAGTGCGCTCGGCTCGGCTCGGCTCGGCTCGGCTCGGCTCGGCTGTACTTTCCGTCTCCGAATGCACGGCGAGCAGAGCAAGCAGTACGTGAACTGCCATGATGTGATGCGACACACGAATGAGGCTGCCGTCAACAAAAGACTGACAGTAAAAAAACAAAAAAAAACAAACAAAAAAAACAGCGCGCGAATTGCGGAAATAATAAACCGAAAATTAAAGTGTCGGACACAGGCCACGGGCCGGCCGGCCGCCGCGCCCGCTCTCCTGTGGACAGATGTAGGCCAATTTGTTTTCGCCCTCTCCCTTCGTGGTCAGGGGTACTCTAGCATTTTCATGCTTTTAGTGTAGGCGGACATACTAGGTCTCCCCCCCCCACCCTTTTCCCCCGTGTTTGACCACTACGACGAATTCAAGGACACAATTTCATTACAACCGTGTAATCGCAACTGTTTTCAAAACACACATTAACTGAAAAAGGCTAAAAAAAATGTCGGGTAGCATGTGTTTGACATGTCGAGTATTCTTCGCCGGCGTGGAAAGTCTTCGCTGAGAGTTTTGGGTCCCGCGTGCTGCGCGTGCCGAAATCATTGCCAACTGCTCTTTGCATTTCCGGGGCTTTAATTCGCTGTCGTGTTATTGTTTTTGCGGCCGGGAGCGTTGCCGCCCTGTGAATGAATAATAACCGGGCCGGGCCACCCAATGGGCCACCCCACCCCGAGCCACCCCGTCGGACCGACAGTTCGACAGTGATGAAATCACAGTCGGGGGAAATGGCGTTGCGGCCTAGAGCGACGCCCGCCCGAATCAATGTATTACCCAATTGTTTATGATGATTGTTTTTTTTTTCGCGACTATTATTGCGCTGCATGGCTGACGTTCCTCAAGTTTCTTCTTCTTATTGACGTCGCTGATGAATTTCTCACCAGGAAACCTCCCCGTCCTGCTGATGCGCGCCGCTGCACCGCGCACCGCCCTCGTCAACAAACTCGCCAACAAACTCCTGGCGTGGAGTAGAAGGCTGTGCTGCCGTCCCTGATGGCGGTAAGTCCCGGCGTCCCGGCCCCCGGCCTCTGCATGAGGGCTAACTTCTTGGTTGCCGACGGCGGTGTGCTGGGCTCTGCCGCTCTGCCTCACGGCTCTGCCTCGTGGCTCGGCGTCGGCCGCAGTGCGCCGCAGTGCGGTTGAGCAGTCATCGAAGAAACAGGACCTGCCCGGTGTTGCCACATAAGTAGGCGAAAATTGCCGCGAAGCGCTGAAAGGGTTGCCAACCTCAGCCTGCTTACGACTAGACGACTTCTCGACAGCAAAGCCCGGATATTCCGTGATAGGCGGGCGGAGGTGGGCAACCCTTTCGACGCTGGCGCGTCGTGGGCGGAATTTTGTTGGCAGCACCGTGACACCAGCACTACCGGGGGCCTCGGAAATCCTCACTCGGGCCGACGTTCGTTTCCGAGTTTGTGTCCGTCGCGTGAAAACGTCTCGGCGGAACAAGTTACTCCCGCAGACTGGCGGCACGGCGCGGCGCATTTGCATATTATCTCGTTGTTCGGTCCAGCAGTCCGGCCAGGCCGCCGGAAGGTGACCCTCCTCCCTTCTCCTCGTCCTGACAGTGGTGCAGACACGGCGCAACTTGGAACAGTATCGGCCTGCAGTTCCGTCCCCGCCACACGCGTGGACCTCAAACGACACTGACATCACCAGTGAGGACGGCGACGCCGGTACGGCAGGGCGGGCTGTCCCTCCCGCACTGATGGGGCGGCCGGAATGAGCGGACTGATTCCGCGCAGCGACGACCCGCGTGCGCCTTCCCTCTCTCTCTCTCTCTCTCTCTCTCTCTCTCTCTCTCTCTCTCTCTCTCTCTCTCTCTCTCTCTCTCCCTCTCTCTCCCTCTCCGCGACGGGGCGCCCGACCAGGGCCCGACCAGCACCCAATGGGAGCGACGGAGACGGCGACACGAAAAGTGGCCACTCGGAATCATCAGGCCGACTTTAAATATAGCTTCGGGCGAACCTTGCTGCGCGTTGCGGCGTCTGATCGACTTGGAGAAGGGCGCATGGCAGAATGGCAGAATGGGCTCATCCTGTACAGTCCGTGCGGTGGCCGTGCAGTCCTTGCAGTGGCGCGGGGCTGCGAGCGCGTGTCTGCCCGGGAAAAGGGGGAGGGGGGCACCGCGCTGCCACACCGTAAACACGGCAGGGAATGGACTCGACATTTCGGGCAGGTTTATCGAACACTTTGCTTTGAGGCGATACAGCGATTGTTTCAAATGCGAATGAACGCATTTGTGGGGCAGGGCCTGGCCAGGGCCGCGACATGTTAGAGCCCCCCCCACCCTTTCCATTCAACATTATGGTGTGGTGGCTGCAGCTGCACTTGTCCTCTACTTTGTTGCGCTTCGCCACGGCGTGGTCATGGCCGCCATGGCCGCGCAGGGTCGCTCTGTCTCCGTCGCACTCATGGGACGCGCCGCGACGCGCCGTGCGGAGCGAGAGAGGCGGCGGCAGGCGGCGGCCCCTGGCGGGTAGGCCGCCCCTCGCACGCCAGCGCGCCGAGGGCAGCCCGCCGCACGGCGCCGTCACGCTGCTGCCGCTGCAGCGCATGCGCCAGGCGGTCCGTCTGTCTCGCTCGCACCCACACGCTCCGCGAGTGCGACAGAGACACGCTGTGCCTGGCGACGAGGTGATGGTGCCAGCGGGGATGTTGCGAAATGTCGGAAACGATGACGAAAATTAGTGTATTTATTCAAGAACAACGACGACAGTAAACAAAGCAAGCTATGTACAAATGGGGTCACACGCTGTTGAGCTTTCGGCGGTAGATGGTGTTGGGGGCGGCGGCGGCGTGGCTGACGGCGACGCCCTGGAAGGAGCGCCGCAGCGCCGTTGCCCCGGGGGCGGCCGCCGTCGAAGCCGACGTCGTCCCCGCGCAGGCCGCCGGCGCCTCCACGACCGTGTCGGCCGACGCGCCGGACGTGGCCGACGACAAGGCCCTGGAGGCCGTGGCGCCGGAGGCCGTGGCCGAGGCCATGGCGCACTGCAGGACCACGGCGGCGGGCAGTGCCATGGGCAGCGCCAGCGAGTCCTCCGGCACGAGCGTGGCCCTGGAGCCGCGGCCGCTGCAGCACATGTGGCCGCCCTCGTCGCACTGCTCCGAGTGCGAGTGGCGGTTGTTGCGTAAACTGCGGCACAGTAACTCAGTCAAAAAAACACGAAACGGGTCGGCGGCGACGGGACTCGAACCCGCGACTCACCTGGTCCCTCGTTCTCGGCGTCCCTCCACCCGGCAGACGCGCTGCTTGAGCCTGGCCTGCTGGCCGCCCAGGTCCGCCACCGCGCGGTCCAGGCGCTCCTTCATCTGCTCGATCGACGCGTCTGCCAACAAAGAACAGTCCTGGCGCGTTAGCTCAGGCGGTACGCACGTGGACTCCACAACCGCGAGGTCCGCGGTTCGAACACCCACTCACCCAGCCGCAGGACGCGCTCCGCCAGCGTCTCCTGCTCCTTCTTGGCCTGCTCGAAGGCCTCCTCGTCCAGCAGGCGGTCCTTCCGCAGCAGCTGGCAGCCCCGCTCCAGCAGGGAGTGGCGCGCGTCCGGGTAGTCCGCCAGCGCGGCCCACAGGTCGCTCTTGGACAAGCAGAACAAGTCCGAGTAGCCCAGCGAGCGCACGTTGGCCGTCCGCCGGTTGCCCGTCTTGTTGCCCGCGATCTCCAGCACGCTCACCTGCACACCAAAATGTTTTTCAAAACAGGACGTTTGAAAACATAGTGTTTGTGTGCAGTGTGGTGGAACCCACCTCGCCGAAGACGGAGCCCGGCCCCAGCCTGGCCAGCACGACGGAGCCATCGTCCGCGACGACGGACAGCCGCCCCCGCTTCACGATGTACAGCTCCTTGCCGACGTCCCCCTTGCGGCAGATGTAGTCCCCGGGGCTGAAGACCTGTAGGCCAGTGGGTCAAGGTCGTTCAAGGTCGTTGCGACAGGCAATTCAAGATCATTGCGACAATCGGTTCAAGGTCGTTCCAACAATCAGTTCAAGGTCAAGGTCACGCACCTGCAGCCGCAGCTTGAGCACCAGCTCCTCCAGCAGGCCGGGCTCGCAGTCCTGGAAGATCTCGACCTGCTTGAGCGTCTCCAGGTGCACGTGGATGGCGATCTCGGCCTTGAGCTTGTCGGGGAGAGCGGCCAGCACTCTCTCCTCGTCCAGCGCCTGCGCAGCCACCGCCTTAGCCACCCGCACTCACTCCAGCACGCATCCCAACGCACGCACTGCCACGCACCTGCTTGTTGGCCCAGGTGTAGGCGAACCAGCGGATCACCCGGGCCTCCAGGTCCTTGGACACCCGCCGGAACGCCATGTACTGCTTGACGCCGTCCATGCGGTTCTGGAACTCGACGCGCGCCGTGTTCATGTTGCTGATCATGGAGCCGATGTTGCCCACGATGGTGGCGAAGATGAGCACGCCCGCCAGGAAGTCCATCACCACAAACAGGTACTCCAGGTCGTTCTCCGGCTGCGGCGTCTCTCCTGCGGGCAGCGGGGAATGGTCACCGTTTCAGAAGAGGACCAGTGCAGGCGGCCGAAATTCCAGAAAACCTCCAGCCGAGGCTCCAGCCAAGTAGGGTTTGAACTGACCCCACCAATGAATTCCTCGTTCGGAGAGCAATCCATTGGTGGGGTCACACGTTCGGTTCGAGACCCATTTAGTGACTCTGGAGCTCAAAACGCGTCTAGAATTTAGGCCGCCTCCATTGGCGTTCTGGCCCACTGTTCGTGCGTCTGCAGAAAGTTGTGCGACAGGGAGGCAGAGACAAAGCACGACAGCCTACCGATAGTCGTGAGTGTGAGCGTCGACCAGTAGAAGCTGTAGATGTACTGCCGCGAGAGAGTGATGTTCTTGTCCTCCGGAGACGTCGTGTTCTTCAGGTTGTACACCCAGTTGTCCGTGCCGAAGCCGATGATGTAGCTGATGTAGAAGTACAGGCAGGCATTCCAGTGGATCAGCACCAGGATGGCGAGGACGACCTGAGCAGAAGAGGGGTCTTGGTTTAGAGGGAAAGTGTTACAAAACGATTTTACGAGTCTTTAACAAATCACAGTCTTTCAGATAGCCTTCTTTAAAATACAAAGTTGAGTTGTCTTTGATCTCTTTCGTTTAATTTTCCTTTTAAAGGTGTGGACCGCAGTGCGAACCAGTATCACTGCTCCACTACTACTGCTTTCATTAGCACCACGCCTGCGGACGGCGAATCGCACCCACCAACTCATTCTACGAAGATAAACGTGACCCGAATAGTGCGGAGACCACCACCACCACCAGCACCACCACCACCACCACCACCACCACCACCACCGTCGAGGTCACACACAAAGCACAAAGAGAGGAGGAAGAAAAAAAAACATTCCAGTAGAGTAGCACACCAATCGCTGTTAACATGGTCGTTATCCCATCGAATTGGCCGCTGCGTCTCTCAAGGGCCTTAATTGCCAGGTAATAGCCGAGGGAAGGCCCAGGGGCAGAGGGCCTATCGGATGGAGTCGATCCTCCCAGGAGTCCCCGCCCGGGGCAGCCGGCACGGCGAGCAGCCCGATGGGCAGCCCGATGGGCGGGCAGGGCAGCCCGAGCCGCGCGGGTCAACACCGCCATGACGCCTGGACAATTACCAACCGGGCCGTAAATCGGCCCGCGGCCACAGCCCGGCCAGAGCGCGGCCAAATTCGGCGCGAGGAAGAAGGAGGCGATGATTAAGCGGAATTAACTTTTAATGAGGCCTCGGCGCGCGAATAAAGAAATATTCGATTTGAAAGGCGGTGGTGCGGCTTTTCCCCTCTGCCACCGTGCCGTGCCGTGCTGGTGGAGGAGGGCAAGTTTCATCACGGTGATGAAGATAATGCTGCAATTGGGGACCTGCAGCGGTGCCCTCGGACGTACTTTTGAAACGAGCGTGGCTCCGCGGTGGACAGTCCTTGGGGAGAGGAAATGAACACACACACGCACACACACAAACACACGCACGGGGGCACATTAGCCGTGGCCTTGGGGGTGTTGGCGCGGGAATACGGGTCTGGCCGGGGCGGGGCCGTGTCGACGCATCCGATAGCCCTTCCCTGTCCTTCGGGTGGTCCTTCCCTTAGAGCAGCCGCAGCCCTCTGGCGGGCCCTGCGCCAGGGAACCACCTGGTTCCCGGTGGTTCCTGGAGGGGCCGCCAACAATGCGGGCTGGGAGGCGCCAGAGTGGAAGGGGCGAAGCGTTCCACGATCCCCTAGCCTCGCGCAGCCTTGATCCCTCCCTCCTTATGATTCCCAGCCGCATCCCTCCCCCCCAGGAGTGCCGGGAGAGCCGGCAGGGCGGCCCCATTCCCGCCCGCGGCGCTTTCAAGGCCCAATCAGACCCCCACCCCCCACCCCCACCCCGTCAAGCTTCAACGGGGTGGCTTTGCACTTGCCTCATTCAGTATTATTTTCCCACTCTCCTTCCTTCTCCCTCCCTCCTCCGATCCGTCTCCTCTCCCTTTCTCTCCGCAAGGGGGTAATTAATCACCTGCGCTTTTTCTTCAGTTTTTTTTTCTCGTTTTTTTTTGTGGTCGCCGTGCGTCATTAATTAGAGGCGATAACGCTGACCGAGATTCGAAAAGAAAACGGAAGAAACAAAAACACGCGGCCCTTTCGCCGCTAGGATAAACAGGGAGGCGAGATGGCTTTCGTTGGAACCAATTTGGCCGGAAATTGGGCTTCATTTTGTCGGCATCGGTGCTACAATGTCGTTACAAAGCTCTATTTTCCTGGAAGGCAGTTCGGAAGCTGATTATCAAGGACAACTTTGAACATGGTTTGGTGCATTTCGGAAAGGTGAAAAATTATCAGATTGTAAAAATGTAAAAAATTAGCTTCTCCCAAAAGATAATTTTAAAAAAATCTTAATTAATAAATCTCAATTTTAACCCAATTTTGTTGTTTTGCCAAAGAATTCACCTAGTCCTTACCAGGCCGTTTTAACATTCCTTGGAAAATTTTTAATTTCAATTTGACTCTGTTGGCCTGGGGAGGCTCAAGATGGCTGCGGGTGACCTAGGGGTCATCTTACTACTGGGATCATCTTACCACTAGGGATCATCTTACTACTGGGGGTCATCTTACTACTGGAGGGCATCTTACTACTGGGTGTCATCTTACTGGAGAGCATCTTTCTACTGGGTGTCATCTTACTACTGGAGGGCATCTTACTACTGGGGGCCATCTTACTACTGAAGGGTATCTTACTACTGGGGGTCATCTTACTACTGCTAAGGGGGTCATCTTACTACTGCTACATGGGGGTCATTTTACTACTGCTACTGGGAGGTCTTCTTACAACTGGGGGTCATTTTACTACAGGCTGCATCTTGCGGGTCATCTGGCGGAACAGGCTTCGACTCACCTTGCAGATCCTGAAGGCGTTGGGATAGCCGGTGCGCGTCTCGGTGCGGTCGAAGAACTCGAGCATCCTGGGGAAGCGCAGCAGGCGATTGACGCGCACGGCCACGGGGCACGGCAGCGAGTCCTTGCTGCAGTAGTCGGCAGTGCGCCAGAACAGGTAGCCGAAGTCCGTGGGCAGGAGGCTCAGCAGGTCGCAGCGCCACCGGTTGCTGCGGACGTAGTTCCAGCGCAGCCGGGCCGCGTCCGTCACCATCAGGCCCTGCTCCAGGTAGCCTGCCCGCCCAGCGGCCAAGCGGACAGCCGAGAAACCAGATTAGCTAGGTGCGGAGGAGAGCAAAGACCCCCGCGGAACGTGCATGCGTCATGTTGGCGTCTTGCCATTGCTGCACTCTCAAGAAAGTTTTAATCAAACTCACTACCTTTGATTTCCTTAGAAATTTTTGACCCTTTGGTCAGCATGACTAGAGCTCTCAGTTTTGAACTAAACGTTTTTCACAGAGAAGCTATCAATCCAATGGGTGTTGCAGTAAACTTAAGTGCTTAAGTAATGAAAGTACTTTAAAATAAAAACAAGGATGAACAGGCCGGAAGGCTTGGACTTGATATCACCAGCGTCCTGCTAGCGTGTGTGTGTGTGAGTGTGTGTGTATGTTGGTCGCAGCGCGCTTGTGTGTGTGATAGTGTGAGTGTTTTGGAAGTGAATGTTATGCTGTCGGCTAATCAGCCGCACTGACATCACACACACGCGCACACAGACACATACACACACACACACACGCTCGCGTCGAAAGCCGTAAGTGAGTATTCCTGGAGGGGACGCTCGTCCTCCTCGCTCTTCTTCTCCTCCTCGTATCACCCCTCGCCATGCCCCCCCCCCCTCTCTCTCTTCCTCGCCCCGAGTCTCGGAGCGCGCGCGCCCCCTGCCGCCCCAAATGGGCAGAGTAAACATGTTTGTTCGCCCACGCCGGTGAAAGGTGACGGGGTGACGGGTCGGTGGCAGCCCTCTACGAGGCTAGACGAGGCATCCCGGAGGGGGGACGGGGCGGCCGGGCGGCACGACCGCGGCGTGCCCGTGCTAATAAGTAGGCTGTCATGCAATCAACAGTGCGTCGGCGGTGCGTTCGCACAGTGGGCCAGAGGACCGGTGGAGGCGGTCAAAACCCCGGTCGGCTCCAGAGTCTCTTAATGGGACTCGAACCGAACGTGTGACCCTACCAGTGGACTGCTCTCCGAACGAGGAATCCATTGGTGGGGGTCGTTCGGTTCGAGTCCTGTTATGCGACTATGGAGTTCAAAACGCGTCTCGAGTTTTGGCCGCCTCCACCGGCCTTCTGGCCCACTGTGCGAGGACGACGACGCCCTCTACAAACGGAAAGGCGTTACGGAACGACGTCCTTGAACGCACCATGCAGATGGACGCACCGCGCCTCGCACCACGCCTCGCACCACGCCCTGGGCAAACCGTCCCGACAGAGTCAACACTGCCGGTCACGCCGCCGAGCCGCCCCGCCCCACCCCGCCCCACCCGGTGGAAAGTTTCCGAGTTTGTGTGAGCTGCCCGCCTGCTGGCATTTCGCGGTGCAGTTCCTTTTAGCGCGGAAATGGTGGCGTGGCGTGGCGGGGCGGGGCGGGGTGGCCACTGGCCGGCCGGGTTCAGGCGGGCAGGCTCGCTTGACTAAATCGAGGGAATTCATTTAGAGAGCGCGGCCTGGCGGCCTGGCCCAGCAGCCACCAGTGCTATTCAGGGCGCCAGAGGACCTGCTCCACCGGGAAGCTTACCCTGGACTTTCCGAGAGCTCTACATTTGTCGAGAGGGCCTGTCGAACTCGTGATAAAATAGTACCATCGGTTTTCGCCTCTGTCGAGGAATTCATTGGTACTCTTATTCGTTTGATTTGAGGCCTAACCAGGCCACGCGGAGCTCCAAACGTGTCGCGTGAGCCAGTCGGCCCAGCGCTCGGCTTACCTTCGTGCATGTGCACGATGGTGTCCAGCATGTAGATGGAGTCGGAGATGATGTCGAAGGCCCACCACATCTTGGTGGGGATGGCCCGGTTCAGCTCCCAGAAGACGGCGCGCCCGATGGTGAAGATGAGGTTGTACAGGACGGCTAGACTAACGAAGATGAGCCACTGCGACAGAAAGACAGGTCCCAAATCAAAAGCCGTCGGGATGGCGGCAACGCATTTTTGGGCTGTCCGAGCGGGGGTCAGAAGGCCGGTGGAGGTGGTTGAAATTCCAGACGTGTTTTGAGCTCCAGAGTCGCTAAACAGGGCTCGAACCGAAACTGTGACCCCACCACTGGATTGCTCTCAGAACGAGGGATCCTGGTAGGGTTGCACGTTTGGTTCGAGTCCTGTTTAGCGACTCTGGAGCTCAAAACGCGTCTAGAGTTTTTGCCGCCTCCGCCCGCTGTGGGTGTTGGAAGCCGAGGCTGCCGGCCCGCGGCCTGGAGGCCTGGAGGCCCGTGGCCGGTGTAGCTTACCCGATAGTGCAGCGGCTGTGAAGGGTCGAAAGAGAGGCTCCGGTTGCGAAGGAGGTCGAGGACCCCTTCGTTGTGGGATGACTTCGGGGGCGGCTGCGTGCACTGGTGGAGGTGCGGGGGTGCTGACGGGGGCGGGAGGAGCCTCGCTGCCCCCGCCCCCGCCTCCACCCTGGCCTGCGCCGCCCCCGCCTCCGCCGCTCCCTGCCCCGGGGACGCCCACCCCAGCCGGGCCTGCAACACCAAATGCACCCTGTCAAAATCCGGTGCCAAAGTTTTATCGTGAGGGACACAAAGTTTTATCTGATGGATCGGCCGGCTCTCGTATCACTGTGTGGTCAATTTTTGTTCTCAAAAGTGGAATCTTGGTGCGGACACCGCCTTCAACGCCATCTTTAAATCTGCCAAACCCCCAAAGCCCCGGCCCACAAAACGGCCGCCTGGAGTGTATTCTCCCCCTGGGTGTGTACTCGGGGCGTTTACAAGATCTCTCCTTTCGGCGATTCATCTTCCAGTGCGGTTGGCGAGGCTGGCAAGGTCCACGCACTCTGTCTCCGATCGTTGTTCCCGCCATGATTCATGAGGTCTATCTGTCACGACGCAGGCATGCCCACTGTGGTCGGGGGTGGGGGGACAAGGGCAGTGGGAAGGGGAAGGGGCGTAAACGGACAGGGGGGAGCAAAGCGCAGGAAAGATAGGGTGGCCACGCAGCTTGAATAAGGTAGCGTGCGACGATGCCGGACAAGCGGTTTGCCCCCGAAAGATGTATGGCACTTTTCCGCTCCATCCGTTGCACAGACGACCGAAGCGTAGCGGAGCCCTGCCGCCGCCCCGCGGAAGAGTCCCGCGCCTCGCCTCGCCCTCCATCGGCAGGTTCCATCAAACGCCCTTTGTCGCGACACAACACGCACTTCCACGTGCAGCGCGGTTTCTCCGTGCTCCGCTGGTTTAAACTTATACTTGCTTTGCAGAATTCTTTCTGCCTGTCTGCCTGTCTGTGTGCCTCTCTGTCTGCCTGTCTGTCTGCCTGCCTGCCTGTCTGCCTGCCTGTGCGTCCACAGCCTCCGCAGTCTCTGCAGTCTCCGCTTGCCTTTTGTCTCCTGCGCCCTTTTCAGAGTCCCCGTGCGCGCGGGCGGCGCGGGTCATGAAAGTCGCACCGCGGAACTGTTATCTGACACCGTAAAATATATGCACAATAATCCTTTCACAACAATGTGTTTTGCCCTCCTTCGCTCCGCGGGGAACGTTTCGCGCCACAGTCCCACGCTCGAAAGAAGCTGGGTTAGCGCCGTTTTAAAATTTGCTTTGAAATTCTGAAAACCAAACTTGCAAGAACCGGGTGTTGATTCTGCCTCTTTCCTTTCAAAGTGACCAAATCGGAAATCTTTTGAGTTCAATCTCTTCGGCGGAGCCTTGGGGCTTCAAGGAAACAAAAATAATTTCCGGCCGAATCCGTCGATCCTTGCAGTGTCCTCGGTAAGAGGGAAAAAACAACAAAAACAACAACAGAAAAAGGTAAAATACGACCCAATGAAACGAAGACGCGAGGCATTTGAAGCCGCCAGGCGAGTTGAGCTGTTCTTTACAGTGTCGACTTTATGGAGCGAACCGAGCCAGGCGGGGCCGGGCGCGGGGCTTTTCTGAGGGCGTCTCTTTGGCGGGGCGGGCACCGACCCCCCCCTGAACGCGCGTGCGTGTGCGTGTGTGTGTGTGTGTGTGTGAGTGTGTGCGTGAGAGCGAGTGACATGGGGCGCAGGGCGTAGGCAGGGCGTAGGCCACATCAGGTAACTCGATAGCTTATGCCGATGGGATTACGGGATGGGTGCTGACTACAGAGAACGGTATCCACGCAAAGGCAAAAATACACGACACACGGGCGGGGAGACGGGCATACAGACAGATAGATTTACAGACAGACAGGTGGACCGATTTCATAACGAGCGGCGACCACATAAAAGGGGGGGGGGATCTCATTGGGGGACTTTGTTGCAGTGACTCCGCGGTCGCGAAGACTGAGAGTCGTTTTCCTCGCTCTGTCTCTCTCGCACCTATACGGGACGCCCCACGAGTGCGAGAGAGACGGAGCGACGAAATGAGTGTGGCCATAAGTCACCTGGATCGAAGAGGCTACCCTGTTGAGGCCCCGGCGGAACCGGGAAGAAGTCGCATTGGGGCCCCGGCCCGAGGAGGCGTCCTGCAACAAGGAAGCAGTGTGTCAGACGGGGCGCTCCATCGGGTTGAGGTTCCCACGCTCGGCTCCAGACGAACATTGCTGGAGTACATGGATGTGAAGCCAAGCCGGGGCTGCAGTGAGTTGGAACCCCCAACTGGAACTTGACTAAAGTCATGTGACTTTTAACGATAAGACCCTTCAAAATAACACCAATTTGATTGATTGTCAACGCACCCAGCATCACTAAGCAAGTGCGAACCAACACAAAACGCTGCCTTCAAATTTCAATTTCAAGTTTAAAAACAAAACTTAATTATTTTCGCTCCAATTGTTTTTGGTGAATTGACTAGGTAAGTAGCGTGAAAATGAAGAGGGCCAGCAGTTTCGGATAAGTTTTGGAGGAGCCTGGCTGATGGACCGGCCGCTTTAGAGTCGGGGAGCGCCTTGTGGGTAGGCCAGGCCGCCGCGCTCGCGAGTCGGCGCGCTGCCCACCCGTCGGGCTCTCTCTCTCTCTCTCTCTCTCTCTCTCTCTCTCTCTCTCTCTCTCTCTCTCTCTCTCTCTCTCTCTCTCTCTCTCTCTCTCTCTCTCTCTCTCTCTCTCTCTCTCTCTCTCTCTCTCTCTCTCTCTCTCTCTCTCTCTCTCTCTCTCTCTCTCTCTCTCTCGCTCTCTCTCTCTCTCTCTCTCCGTCCGCCTCGCGGCTCTTCAAAAACTGCAGGGCATGGCTCTCCGCTTCGGCGCGCTGCTGGGCCGTGGCGTGGCCGTGGCGCGGCCGAGGCGTGGCCATGGAGGCCGTGGCGGCCAGGGCCCGCAGTCCGCCCGCCTCGAAACATGGCGAGTAAGCCCTTAAGCCGTAAGCTCCCGCAAGACACGAGCGGCCCCGGCGTTCGAGGCCTTGGGGGCCGGCAGCTCTGTCTCTCTCGCACCCCTACCGGACGCCCCGTGAGTGCGACAGAGACTCTCCAGCCTGCAGGCCAGGCGATGCCGGGGGATGCAGCGCGGCCGGGTCACTGTGCCAACCACCACACTAGCCGGCCGGCCAGCCCCAAGGCCCGAAGGGAAAGGGCCGACTTTTTCCCAACAACACACACTTTTCCTCATTGGGGCGGGAATATATTTGCGGTCCAGTTTGTTGTTGGGGCTGGGGTAGTTGCGGCGTCGGCTGGAGTGGAGGTGGAGGCCCTGTGGCGTGGTAGGCCGCAGGACCACATGCCACACCTCTCTCTCTCTCTCTCTCTCTCTCTCTCTCTCTCTCTCTCTCTCTCTCTCTCTTTCGTGCGTGTGCTCCAATGCCGTTCCGACCCCCCAAAAAAACTTCCCCTTGATTCCTTTTTCACTCTGCGAGGAAAAAACATGCGCGCACGCCCACGTACACACACTCACACACACAAGCGCGCGCGCACACACACACACACACGCACACACACACACACACACACACACACACACACACACACACCTCACCGTTCCCTCGTCACCCCCTTCGAAGGCATTCAAACTCAGCGTGAATTCCATATCTCCCTCCTCCACTCCAACCTCGCCGGCCCCGCCCCTCCCTTGCTCCGGCTTGCTCCTCGCATGCTTGCCCCGGCTTGCCCCGGCTTGCCCCGGCTTGCCCCGGCTTGCCCCGGCTTGCCCCGGCTTGCCCCGGCGCTGGCTGCGCCCCCGGACCGAGAATGCAAGCCGGGCGCAATTGTTGAGGAAGGGGGGGAGGGGGCTGTTCGATCTGATGCGGTCCGTACATGAACCACACGCGGCAAAGCCATGAAATCGGCGAATTTATTCATTTTCGAGCGCTTTAACCGAACGCTCTCGAAAAACGCAGCCGTGTCGTTGCTCGAGCGCGGTCACCTTACCCTCCAGACCGAAGGAAAGTGCAAGAGAGAAAGGGGGAGGGGGGGGGGATTCGATCGCCCACAATGATTTATCGCCGTCTGTTTCATTAAGCCATCCGGAGACAGGGCGGCGGTGTGATAGCCCATCAAGACCGCCGGGACCTTGCCTTGCCACGGGTGCGCCGCCGCCCCTGCCTTCGCCCCTGTCTCTTCGCCCCGTCGCGCGGCTGCCCTCCGCGCCCCACCCCGCCGCCGCGGGCCACGGCTTAGACCCGGAACGCCATTAAAGTGTTTCCAGCACCACGGCAGCGACTACCGCGCATTCCTCCGCCACCGTTTGTTAACCCAAAGACCTGATTTTCTGAGCAGGGCGGCGGGGAGCGTCTTAAATGCACTGAGCCCCTGCAAATTTATCGCGTTTTCAGTCACAATTATGGAGCAGCCTCGGTGCATCTTTTCGGTTTTTCTACAGAAGAGTGTGGGAAAGGGCAGGGGGAAGGGCAGGGGGGAGGGCAGGGGGGAGGGCGGGGGGGAGGGCGGGGGAGGGCGGGGGAAGGGAAGGGGAAGGGCAGGGGGAAGGGCAGGGGGCGCAATTGACTAAGAGGGGGTGGAAGCTGCCCGACTGTACGCCAAAGCGGCGGGGGAACTTGCGTCGGAAGCGTCTTGAGAGGCCACTCTGGCGGACGTCCTATCGCGTTGCCCCCCACCCCCTTTTCCTTAAGGCCCCAGCCTCCCCCTCCCCCCTCACTGTCTTCCAATTGGCCGGGGAGGGGGAAGTACCTCACTATGCGGTCTGATCAGGCCCGTCTCACTGCAGGACTGCGGACAGACGGTCGGACCCATACAATGTCGGCGGGCGGACAGACAGACAGGCAGACACACACGCTGCTGACTGCGGAATGGGAAGGGTGGGCAAACGGACGCGCTTGCAAACAGACCGGACTGGACCGGCCGGACCGGACGGGGGCACGCGGCCGGCACGCCGCGCGGCGGTTGCCAAAATAATTGGCCGCCCGGGGTGCTTTTCGCGCGATGAACTCGGAAACGGGACGGCGCGGCGCGGCGCGGCTGGCTGGTTATTAGTCCGGCCGGCAGAGCGCGCCACTCGTGCGAAAAAAAGTTAGCGTGGGAAGGCGGCGGAGAGGCGGCGGTGGCGGAGCAGCAGAGCAGCCCATCGACATTCAACACACGCTCATTTAGGGGCAAGTTTTCAGGGGGCCACTACTGGCGCCGGGCGATTCCGAAGAGCAGTCGCTCTGTCTCTCTCGCACCGCGACGGAGCGGGAACTGAGTGCGAGAGAGACGGAGCGACGAGGGGGCGCGTTCATCTGGAGGGAGGAGGCGCGACCTGTGACCTTCCCGCCGCCACGGCCGAGGAAGGGCACTTCTTGCTGTCACACCAAGGCGTGCGGACAGGCAGACGGTCAGACAGACAGACAGGTTGTCATACGGCGTGCCTCACCGACCCACTCCACGGCAAGAGCCTACCACTGTCTAATCCAGCTGGCGACAAAAACAGATCTGGGAGCAAGGCGCATTCAAATGGGGGCGGGACGGGACGGAGTCTGCGTGTCGCACGACCTGTCATGAGCACAAAAACGACTCCGCGCTGCACAAGTAAAGTCGTACGGCGAACTACAAATACGAGAGATGATGATTCACTTTCCCGTCACAGTGAAAGCGGCATATTTTGGCCGATGGTGAAGAAAGCAGCGGGCGGAAACTACGAGCCCAATGGATGTCTTAAACTCGGCATAAAAGTGAAATGTCGTGTTTTTGATTTTCATGCCGCTCTTCCCGCTCGAAGTCTTCCCCTTACGACCCTCCGCGCCGCATCGCCTTCGAGAGCCTCAAGAGTGCTGGAAGTGGCAGGCGAGGCTTCCGGGATGGACGCGGGGATGGCGGGCTAGCGGCTGCAGTGCCGTGGCTGTCTTACGGTGTAGGCGAGCCGGGTGCACCCTAAGTCCCTCCCCGGGGACCTCCCCGTGCCTGCCTGCCAGCCTGCCTGCTCGCCTGGCCTTCGCGACAGTAAAGAGGGATTGACGGATAGCGCTGCCACTATTTTTGCGACACCCTTCCCCTTCGGCCGTGTCATAAAGAAGCGCCACGCGACGGCAACGACGACGTGGCCTTGCATGGGCTCCCCCCCCCCATCCTTCCTTCCCCTTCCCTCTCCAGAGTGCACAGACTTCCGGGGAGACGCGATCGGGGCGGCCGAACCGCCAAGCAGCCAAGCAGTGCTGAAAGATCCTGAAAGCATCGCGCCGTCCGCTCTGTCTCCGTCGCACCCCTAGCCGACTCGGTTCGGCGGGGTCGGGCCTACTGCTCCACGCCTCCCTCGGCCTGCCCAGCAAGCCTAGGCGCCTGCGGGTCAGGCAACACACACACGCACACACACACACACACACACCAAGCAATATACGGGATTGTGTTTGTTGTTGTTTTTGTGCGGACAGCAGCACAGCGTGCGTGGGGGCGGCGTCGGTTGGCGGCAGCGGGAATGGTGTGTGCGTACGCCCGCGTATGCGGGCTGCAAAACCAAAACAGACACGCGTGCTGCCTCTGTGTGTGTGTGTGTGTGTGTGTGTGTGTGTGTGTGTGTGTGGTGAGGGGCTGTGGTTGTGGCGAAAGAAAGAGAAGGGGCGAGGGGAGGCGTGGGCTGCGGCCGGTCTGTGGACCGCCAGGACCGCCAGGACTGCCAGGGCCGCTGCCTTGTTGGTGGCGGTGGTCGAGTTGCGGTCACTCACGCCCAGAAACGACGGCCGGCCGCCAGAGGGCGCGAAGGACGGGCTAGTGACGAGCTGGCTGCCTGCCTGGCTGCCTGCCTGGCTGCCTGGCTGGCGGCAGGTGCGGTCGTGTTGTGTTCGTGGCCTCTGGAGCAGGCCTCGTGTTGTTGTTGTTGTTGTTGTCCGGTTTGAGGCATCTGTTGCTCATCAAGTTCGCGGATGGGGGAACCGTGTCGAGGACTGGATTTATGACCGTAGAGGGGGGCAAGGCGTCATGGAGACAAGCGGGACACTGCGGCCGGAACAGAAAAACAAAAAGAAACGCGAAAGAAAACGGAACATCGTCCATGTGTTTGTTGTGTTCAAAATCGCGAAACGTCCAAAGGAGTTTGCTCCAAGTTCACACTGTCGCCGGAGAGCACTGACGGCAAACGCAGGTGAGTGTGCGGCACCTGGAACTGT